CCTCCTCCCTCCCCTCGTCCTCCTCCTCCTCCCCCCTCCTCTCCCCCTCCCCTCTCTCCTCCTCCTCCCTCCCCTCTCCTCCCCTCTCCTCCCCTCTCGCCCTGCGCCTGCGCCTGCTGCTCCACCGCGGGGGTGGGGGGGGAGATTCGTGCCTCCCGAGGCCGTCTCTGCCATCTACTTCACGGTGTCCACAGTCGCGACCGTGGGCACCGCGCGGGGGGGAGCGGAGGGGCAAAGGGCGTGGGACGGAGGGGAGGGGGAGGTTGGGTAGCAAATCATGGGAGCCTTGTGTACCGCCGCAATTTTGTCTTCAGCGTCGAGCGTCTGGGAGTCGATGAGATAGCGCCGATTCAGCGTCGGTTAGCGTCGATTGGCGTTGAGTTGGCGTCGATCAGCGTCGGTTTAGCGTCGACTTGCGTCGATTCGCAAGAGCCGATAAGATGGTATGGGAGGCTCCCATGAGTTGCCACCGAAGGGAGGGGGAGGACCCTCAGGGCCCGCTTGCCTCGTGCCCGGCGGCGACGGCCACTCCTCATTGCCGCCGAGATTTGCCCGTGGTCCTCGTCTCCACTGGGGTTCGCTGGCGGGGGGACGTGTCGGCGCGCCGCTAGTACAGGCGTACGCCCCTCCGTCTTTGAGAGGGCGCCTCGGCCACCAGGGAAACTCCTCCTCGGACGCAGGGTTGGCCGTGGGCTTGCCGCGACGTCGGCTTCGTCTATTTGGGCGCGTTCAGCGATATGTGTGGAACAAGAGGAACATGTAATGATGTTGCCAAGTACGAGGCGCAGAAAACGGATGTGCGGGATACATACATATACACATACATATGTATACATATATATAGATGTTGCCGCTGATGATTGTGCTGCTGCTGCTGCAGATGGTGATAGTGAGGATGGTGCCGATGATCATAATGATGGTGTTGATTGTAATGATGAGACTGATGGTGATGGTGATGGTGATGATAAGGATGCTGTGATGATGATGATGATGATGATGATGATGATGATGATGATGATGATGATGATGCTGATGATGATGATACGGCTCATGGTGATGGCGATGGTGCTGATACTGATGATGCTGATGATGGTGATGATGGTGGTGATGCTGCTGCTGATGATGCTGGTGGTGGTGGTGGTTGTGAGGGCGGTGGTGGTGTTGAGTATGCTGATGAGGATGGTGATGATGCTGCTGCTGATGAGAACAAATAACGAGGAGGATGGCGAGGACGCACACTGGTGATTATGCTGACGATGATGGCGACGGCGATTATAATATGCTGCTGATGATTATGAAGCTGCTGATGATGATGCTGATGCTAGTGATGATGATATTGACGGAGGTAATGGTGATGGTGATGGTGATCGTGATGGTGATGGTGATGATTCTGGTGATGATGATGATGATGATGATGATGATGATGATGATGGGCATGCTGATGAGAATGATGATGACATATGGTGATGATGAGGATGATGATGCTGCTGCAGATGATTATGATTCTGATTATGATTATGACTATGATTATGATGATGATGATGGTGATGCCGATTCTGATGATGATGCTGATGATGATGATGATGATGATGATGATGATGATGATGATGATGATGATGATGATGCTGGGGATGCTGATGATGGTGGTGGTGGTGATGGTGGTGGTGGTGATGATGATGCTGATACTGATGATGCTGATGATGCTGATCTGATTCTGAGTCTGCTGATGGTCCTGACAAGGACGATGATGCTGCTGCTGATGATGCTGACGATGAGGATGCTGATGTTGCTGTTGTTGCTGAAGAGGAGGAGGATGAGCAGGAGGAGGAGGAGCAGGAGAAGGAGGAGGAGGAGGAGGAGGAGGAGGAGGAGGAGGAGGAGGTGGAAGATCCCTGCCACCCTGCCGTTGATGCCGACGGCTTTGTGGATCACGGCGATCGACATCGAGGAGGGGGGGCGGCGGGGCGCGGTCTTTGCCGGTCCCGCCTGCGTCGCGCGGCTACGCCAGGGCGCGGACACGGGTCTCGCAGAGACGCTCGGCCGCCTCGGGTGCCGCGTACGCTGGCAGGTGGCGTGCGGGGAAGATCCAAGAAGGTCACGTCGCGGTGGCCGCGGGGCCACGGATCCGCGCCTCGTGTGGACACCTGGGGCGCCTGGTAGGCTCCCGTGCCGCCCGGGGGCCTGGCCCCCCCCGAGCCTCCGGAGGCCCCTGGATCGGGTGCTGCTGGAAGTGCCCCTGGCCCAGGATTCCCAAGGAGGCCCCCACGGCCTTCAGAGCACCCCTCACGAGGCCCAGATGGCCCAGGGGATCCAAAATTGAACGAAAAGCTGGGGGCACCCTGAGCCAGGGGCACCTTTAGTACCCCCCGACTGGAGCCAGAGAAAAGAAACCGCCATCAGCGTAGTTTCTCGGCGGTCCCCGCGAATCTCTTGCATCGGCGATGGGCCCCCCTGGCAGCGCCTCCGGCGGCGATCCGAGGAATCCACGTGGACGTTCGAACGTTTATGTACATGCGCTTTTTTTTTTTTTTTCTCTATGGAGGCCTCCTGAGGTCCCCTTGGGGTTGAAGCGGGCTCCAAGATGGTAAAAGCAGGGAATGTCGGGTCAGAAGCCTTGCGCCAGACGGCGGGCGAGCAGTGAGAAACGAAGTGATTGCGCCGGCAAGAAGCCCTTCGGCACTCTGCTCGGTGAAGCAGCTCTGACTCAGAGTGTCCAGAGGAGGAGAAGGAGGAGGAAGAGGAGGAGGAGGAGGAGGAGGAGGAGGAGGAGGAGGAGGAGGAGGAGGAGGAGAGGAGGAGAAGGAGGAGGAGGAGGAGGAGGAGGAGGAGGAGGAGGACTGGACACGATGGGCAAGCGCGCCCCGATCTGATAGCTGACTCCCGCGCCGCTGCCGCACTCCCTCCTCGATCCTCGAGCGCCGAGGCAAACCTGCACAGTTGTTTTCACAAAGGGTTTTTCGGTTTTTCGCTCAACGGGGGTCTGCCCACCGCCGAGTCAGGGAAGTCGTTGGCGGGAAACGTAGTCATATTCACGACCTCGTTGGCCGGTCCCCTGGGCCGCGACCCCGTGTATACGGGCAGTTTTCTCGCGAACGCCCCGCGCGGAGCGTATCCGTGCGCCCGCGTATCCACGGGATCGTGACGTAGAGTCCAGACAGCGAGGGCATGGACATGGATACGTGGACCGCCCGCGAGGGAAGGGAGGGAAGGGGAAGCGAGGGGAGGGATGGGGAGCGCGGGGGAGCGAGGGGAGGAAAGGGAGGGAAGGGTGAGCGAGGGGGAGGTATGGAGAGCGAGGGGAGGTATGGGGAGCGAGGGGAGGGGGAGCGAGGGGGAGCGACGGGAGCGAGGGGGAGCGAAGGGTATGGGGAGCGAGGGGGAGCGAGGGGAGGGGAGGGAAGGGGGAGCGAGGGGAGGTATGGGGAGCGAGGGGAGGGAAGGGGAGGGGAAGGGGGAGCGAGGGGAGGGATGGGGAAGCGGCGACGCCACGGAGCGCGCGCAGCTCGAGCTCCGCGGGCGGGTGCCCGCACCCCACCCGCGCCCCCTGGCCAGGCCCCGGCGACCTGGTGCCTGCGACGTCCGTCGGGCCGGCCGCCCCTGTCGCCGCCACCGCACCATCTCCGCCGCCGTGCGTGCCGCTGCCCTGCCGCCGTCACTGCCGCTGCCTCCTGCGCTGCTGCAGGGCCTGCTGCTGCTGCTGCTGCTGCTGCTGCTGCTGCTCGCGCCAACGCTGCTGCGGAAGTCGCTGCTGCGGAAGTCGCTGCTGCCACCGCCGGCGCCGTTGCGGCCGCTGCCACTGGCGTTGCTACCGGAGCTGCTGCTTGCCGCCCGGTGCCGTCACTGCTGCCAGGGCTGCCGCAGCCCATCCCGCTGCGCCGCTGCTGCTGCAGGGCCCGCTGCTGCTCTTGACGCTAACGCTGCTGCCACCGCGGGCTTCGTCGCAGCCGTTGCCATTGGCGTTGCCTCCAGAGCTGCTGCTGCTGCGGCTTTTTGGCCGCTCATGTTATCATGGCGCGTGACGTCTCCCTACTCGCTATGTGGTGCTTCCGCTGTCCTTGCTGGCGCCTGGGCTTCAGCTCTTCTTTCGTCATAGTGCTCCAACGTTGTTTACCGCCTCGTAGCAGTTATCATCAATGAGCCTGGCGCGGCCCCAATCAGGTTGTTGTTCTCTTCTGCATGAGGCAGGCTGAAGGCATGCTGAATGCAAGCTGGAGGCAAGGTGTATGTCATCTTGACAAGCTGAAGCTGAATCTTTTGCCCTAGTTGCCGTGCATTGCACATTGTCGCAATTACATTGCATTGCCCGGCATTGCGCTCCATTGCTTTGTGTGCTTTGCTTCGCTGAACTATGCTTTGCTTTGCGCAAATTACTTTGAGGTGTTTGGACTTGAGAACTGCGTTTGTTTGCTTCGGCTCGCCTTGCTGTATTGGAAGTGGTTTGATGCATTTCTATTTGACGTGCTGGATTTTTGACGGTGTTTTGAAGTGTTTGATCTATTTTGAAATGCAGAGCTGTGCAATGCTTTGCATCGCCGCGGCGTGTTCTTACGTTGCACGACAATGCAATCACATTGTAACGCACAGCAAGGAACATACAATGCAATTCAACGCGATGTAACGTAATGCAAAACGATGCGATGACAGTATTCGAAATCCAAGGCGAGGCAGCGATGTCCAACGCACACTCACTGCCATGTGATAAAACAGACAGACGTGTAGAGTCGCGCAATAATCACCAAAGCACTGCGTAACAAGTCCGTGAGAAGTGACACAACGCAGTCCAATGCAAGCAACATCGAAGCAATGCATTTCAATGCAGTTCACATCAGTGCTGTGTATTGCAATGCGCAGCCATTCCTATGTCAGATGGCATGTTACGAATGCAGTGCGCAGCGCTGTAAGTTAATAC